AAGAGGGAAGGGGGAGATATACCTTTGCATGGATCAATCAGGCATCGATTTATAATCGTCGGGTGGCAGATCACTCGCACACCGATTCTCGCCGTAGCGTCGTGATCACGAATCGCTTGGACCGATGCTTTCACATAAGCTTCGGACCTTCACACTAAACAAGTGCGACGCGCCCTCCGAGTCGCACAATCTTTCGTTTTCCCCTTCGCCAGGACGCGATTTTACTCAATTTTTCTGGTAAGTCCTATTTCCTTTCATTTCGTAGATATTTCGTTTTTATGAAGTATGTAATGTTGATTTTCGAGAAACTATAGTATCGGTAGGATATCGCCATTATTCTTTGTAATGATGTTTCTCCTTGGTAATCGCGATTTGGAGGACGCGACTGCTTGTGCAACGTCGCGAGACAAGCCTTTTTTATATATATATATGTATACATATATATAATAATTGCGGTGAATTGTCGATTGATTAATGTTTGAGACAGAAAGAAAGATCTTCTTAATTAGCGTTTAGGGGATATTCCGATGTAATTTTTTCTTGTAGCTGTATAGCCGACCACTTTTTCAATTAATAATAGCGCACGAACGTGCGAGCGATTTTAATAAAACAGAGTTAAGCATTAAAAAGAAGCGAAGACAAAAGAAAAAATGTCTTAGAGACATCGCGTAATGGATTTATATATACTATTATTATGATTATTACAATTCCCTTTATTTTGTTCGTTTTCGATTATATCTTTATCTTTACACGAGAGTAGGAGTAAAAGTGATTCGAATCGAATGCGAGAGAGCGAGAGAGAGAATATATAAGGAGACGAGAATGGCGTGTTTAGTTATATATCGTGTCCGTAATCATGTAACCGTGCTTTAGAAACGACGCCGGACATTTCCTCCGGAAATAAAATAATGGTCAGCCGCGATCGTGTGTGCGAAAAAGAGGAAATTAAGAGAGGAGAGAATGAAAGGAAGAATAATCACAGTGAGCTTATAAGTACCTCGACGGCGACGGTTTCAATGAACATTATCGTCGTCGGTGAACGGTGAGACATTGTACTCGCTACGCGACGAGAGTAAAAACACACAAAGCGAAAGAGTACTCGTCGGTTTGCGATATAGTGATCGTCTTATTGTAACGATTATCATGGTAATTATACACGAAATAAAGCAGAACGTAATCATGATCACGGAGGAATTAATACGGGGTTCGATAGAGCGAAGGAAGTGCGAACGAGTTCTAGCGGATTCAGTTCAACTTACGATTAGCGTTTAAACTAACAATTTACAATTAGGATGTACACATACTTACAGAAACACCATATACTGAGGGTATAATAGACAGATAATCGTGTTTTTTTTTTCTCGACGAAATGAAAGTCGTTCGTAAATGTGTTCGTCGTAAACCGATTCTTCTCTTCACGATCGTCGGCGTACCGAGGATAAAGAGCTCGGAAGCGATCGTGTATTGATCGAAATCAACAATTGGAACTGATCAAATCGTTCGAAAATAAATAATCTTGAGATAAAGAAAAGGAGAAGAAAAGACTCGGCGGATGGACGTCGATTTTAAATGATGATCGGCTGCGTAGGAGCTCCCAGATCAATATTTGTGTGCTCAATTTCTAGTTTGTAGCAAGATGAGAGAAGAGGGAAGGGGGAGATATACCTTTGCATGGATCAATCAGGCATCGATTTATAATCGTCGGGTGGCAGATCACTCGCACACCGATTCTCGCCGTAGCGTCGTGATCACGAATCGCTTGGACCGATGCTTTCACTGTTGAAAATCAATTAACCAATCCGAATTGCAAAGAAAAGTCAAATATTTCCGTTTCACATAGAAACGTATATAAAAATATTTAATTATTTTTCGTCTCGTTCATCCATAAATTATTTAAACCCTCGGCTAAACGGATTCGTGAACTCGAACGCGGAGATCGTATAGTAATAAACGATGACTTCATGATAATTATATTTCATATTCTGTACGCCGTATAGTCTCCGTCACCGTGCAGCCTCATAATAATAATAGTTTGGTTTCTCTCTTGGAGACAATAATGATTTCTCACGTTGGCTGCGATTTTCGTGAAAAATCGACGAAACAAAGATTCTACAAGTGAGAGAGATCGAGAGAAAGCTGTTGAACGCATGGCAGGAAGAATGAAAGGGGTAGACAACGTGAACGTGTGAATAACGATGACTTTATCTATATATGGATATTTCTTTTCGTTTCTCATCGTCAAAGGCGAGAACGGAGGTTGACGGCATATATCAAGATTCAAAGAGTATACACACACAGGATTTTGTAGGTAATGTTAGTCTTCAACTGTATATTGGTCTCTTATAAACGATGTCGCGAAGCTTGTGCGCTTAACAAGACATTAGCTACCCTGTATCTCACCTTGTTAAATAAAGCTAGGCGTGTTTAATATAAAAAATAAGACAAATATTAATTGTGGGGGACAAGTACTTTGACGAGTATTGAACACACACCGAGGAAACAGTGAACTGTCTTTCTTGAAACGAGGTCTCGCAACGCACACTTACACTTAAATTAGTCACAGATCAGAACAATAGTTCTTAGACGACGTAATGAAAAATACTTTTATCGAAACAATAATTATTTTTAATCTCACGAGGTATAATAAAATTCAAAGCTGTTTAATGTTCACTCATACTAGGAAGCTGTAGTGTTGACGTTGTTATTGATTGAACAATATTTACTTATGAGCATTACTTTTCGGAAGGGAGGAAAAGTATGACGTGTGTATAGTCAGTATGGCTGAAAATAAGCGGTAGCTCTTTCGTTACTTATACATTTCCATCGATCCAGCCACCCTAGAAGATACTAATTCTGTAGCACCTTGCGCGACCACGTTTCTCGTGTACTGTACTTTATTGTTTCTGTTACGTACATACCTTCTTCCGTGGAATCTGCGCCTCGGATCCGTGCCAAATCGAACGACACGGAACTCGAGAGATGAGAAAAAATCAGAAAAAAGATTCATACAGATAAAACAATGAATGTTAAATATTATCTAATGCCTTTGTAAAAAGTTTTAAATCAAGCATCGAAAAAAATTTCTGTTCCTATTGAAAAAGTGTTCAAGCTTTATCGATCCGAAAAAAAATTCTCTACGTTAGCAATAAAAGTCTCTCGATTTCCAAATTTCCTTTTTCGTTTCGGTTTGACCTCGATCCGCACTCGGAACGATCAAAGAGCGTAGCATCCGATAAAAATTATAGTGAACGACAAATCCTTTTTCTTTCTTTTTTTTTCAAAAAGAAAATTACAAGGAAAGACATGGCTGCGTGCCCTGTTCACACGCACATCGTTTTTTTCCATTTACTATTCATCGTTGCAATCGATGCAATTGCAACGCAATCCGCGAGTATCACGCAAATCTATGTATGGCAAACGTACCGGCACGCAGAGTGTACATGTATATACACATTGTTTTATGTGTACGTACGTGCATTTACATACTTTAAAAAAGAAAAAGTATCAAGAGAGTGGAGAGACTCGTACAGAGAGAGATGTAGAGAAAGAGGGAGAGAGAGAGAGAGAAGATGTATCCATCCAAACAACTTGACCCAGGCTCCTGCCCGTCTTTGGTAAGCACCATCCGCTCCTTTGTAGTCCCGTTAATCAATCGACATACTCTTCTCCCCATTTTTACGAACCGTTTTTTTTTTTGGCAATCGTTCGATCTTATTCTATTCGTTAAATTAATTTCACTTACAAATTGATTTTCTTTCCTTTCAATTCTTAATTCTTAGATTACCTGCTTTAATTTATTCCGTGTCTTCTTACTGTTTTCACTTGTTTAATTTTTTTTTAATATTGTGTATCTTACATTTTCTGTCAATTCTCACTTTTATCTAACGATCGCGGAGAAACGAGTTGCCAACCAGAACCGATTTTACCGAACAGATCATCCGAACCCCGCCGGGAATTATTTGCCCGTGAATGATCTGACGCTGCTGACTCGGTACACCCGTTCGGAGTTCTGTTTCAACATTTCCTGCGAAATCGTGCAATGAGATGTTGACGACGTTCCCATGATTTTTAAGTGATAGTTCGCGGGAGATGTTTGAACAGACTGCGCGTGGGGTGAAACCGAGAGCAACCTCGATGATCGAGGATCTTTTTCCGTAGATCCGCATGTTACCTCAAGAACGCGAAAGGTGACGAAGCGCGTTCATTGCTCGTTTTAAGAAATACATTCGTTTAAACTTTTTGAAAAATTATGATATTTCCTTAGCAGTATTATTCTTTCACTTAAAAGTAATTTTACTCAAATATTTGGATTCAATGTCTCGGAAGATCGTCAAATGCGTTTCGTAGAAAATTGTACAAAATATGAATTCATAATTTAACATCGTTCTAAATAAAAACTGAAGTAGTCTCTCTTTAAGAATAACAATCAACAAGTATATTCCAACTTCTTCCTCGTTAAATTTCCTTATACACACTGAAAAGCATGGAAACGAGCAAACTGGTGCGCTTTGTCGCCTTCGCTCGGCTCGCGAGTTCGAGCGTGAAGGGCCCGAGTTGTAGTGAACATGAATTCAGCTGAACTATTCTTCGCAGTTAACAAACTGCCTACAAGAATTAAAATGTGTTTTATATTCGCCTGTGCGCAGTTCGTACAAATTGGAACATGCTTTTAAAAACTGACTCCTGTTTCAAAGCGCGCATATGTACAACCAGGATGAAACACAGATTCCTATAAAACTGGTGTCAATCCTTAAAATTTGGATAGTTGGAACTNATTTATTCATTGTCAGTATTAGTCAGCATAATTAATTTTCGGATACTTTAATACTTAATTATTCGATAACAATTTATCATTATTAAATATGTCAGATATTTAGTTCTAACCAGTGTAACTTCAAGTATAGTTCAAAAGGAATTCACATTTACTGGAAACGTTGCCTCTTCGGCGCCAGCCACACGGATCACATCCGGTCTGACATAGACGGCCAATTCTGTTTCAGGATATCGCAAGAAACGACGGGGCTATCGATACCCGCGTACCACTTCATCCCACCGGACCACATCGTTAAGTCACCGATCCACTAAAAGTGGTCAGACACACACGTATGTCGTTGTCGTCGTCGAAAGGACGCGGGGCGTCGCGACGCACGCGAAGCTGTCACAATGGCATCTCGGGGCTGGGCCACGCACTGTGTTCAACCAGCTTGCTAATCGACACACACGTATTAACACGCATCAATTACACACACAGACAGACACCACACACGGTTGATTAAAAAAGAAAAAAAGAATTGCAGACAGAATATAGATAACACGTACAGACAAATATACGAGGGAAGCAAAGGTGGACGAGAAAAATGGAATACCGCATCGGAAGGGAAAGGGAGGACGTACGCAACACTGTACACGTGCACACACACAAGACACAGAAATATATGTATGAAATTCAGATACGTTATCGTAAACGGTTAAACGAGGGAAGTACGCGTGGATAACGCGTCACGGATTTAGATACACGTGAACAAACACACGCGCGCGTACACGTGTGGGAATATCGTGCGCGCGCTCTCGACAAGAGGATCACAGAGGTGTACATAAGGAGAAGGTAGGACGCAGAGAAGTGAGGCAAGGGTTGAATCGAGCACGCGCTTCATGATAATGATATAAAAACAAAAAAAAAAATGAAGAAAAAATACGCAAGTAGAGACGAAGAAAGCACGCACGCGCGTACACGGATATATTATAACATATATATTATATATATACTCGAATGTACAAAATTGTACAAAAAGAATATTTAAACGAACAAAAGAAACAAAAAAAAAAACGTTTAATAACGATGCACGCCGCAGCCCGTAATACATAGACACACATACACCGTGGCTGCTGCCGATTGGTAAAGGGAACAAGCCAAAGATATGTTAGTTTTCATTTTTATATTTAAAAAAACGAGAGAAAAAACAAAACGAGAGTACGAGAGATGCGGAAGGAGAGTACTACGCTGACTGAAAATATCATACTACCTGTTCGGGAATTGGACTTTCGCTACAAGCACAGTAAAATTGTTTCTACCTTCCGATAGTCGGAAACTAAATTTTTAGACGGAAAAATCGATTAAGTTGTAATTAGATAAAATTTTTTGTGGGTATGGAAACGTGTCCCAGGATTCAAAGAAATTCTGATTCTAAAAAAACGTTTCATATTTTCGATCAGAATAGTACGAGAGAATTATTATAATTATTAATCATGAATGTATGAAACGAGAACGCCGAGTAACTATATTAACGTGTAATTAGGCCGGTTGCTAGAATTTGTTCTACCGCTGACTATTTTAAGGATTGGAGACTGATGGGTTTCTTTCCGCGCCCTTTAGCTAATTGAAAATGTTGAATCAGTCGAGAGGGACGAGACCTCTCGTCGGATATTCGTTCGATCTCAACCTCGGAAATTATTATTTTTAATCGATGACATTTAAATTATTTAGGTCTGTTTTAAACGTTGATTTTAAAGAGTATTCGCGGTAAATAGAGAATCGTTTCGCGTAGACATTTCTCTATTTTTTTCTTGACTCATCAGCAATTTCTCTTTCAACACTTGAATTTATTTCCACTTTAATTGGAAAAGAAAATTCGTTTTAACTTGAGAGTTTTATTCGTCAATGATAATGAACGGAGAAGATCAAGCTTCAGTGTGCAATCGCAGCAAAGAAGTATCACTTGGGATTCTTGTGGAGTTTCCAGATATCTGCCATCGGTCAACTTTCAAGTGATATTTTTTATGGTAATAGATTCTGTTGTCTCTGTAAATCGAGATAGAAGCGGAGGAGTCTTGACTCGATAATTGATTTCTGATCAATAGTTCTCTTGTCCTCTTTGATCAAAGTGAACCATTCTTCAGGAGGTTCAGTATACTCGAGTCCTCCATCTATTCGAAACGGTAATGAGGACTCCTCCGAGGAAGATTCTAGGAATCTGTACGATACAATGGCTGCAGTTCTGACGCGTCAGAAATCAGAATAGTATCGACTCGTCGAATCCAGCTGGTCTCAGAACAAAATTACTCCAGTTATCCGCGTTTCGTGTCTTTCCTTCATCTTTCAATTACCGTCTTCACGACTGTTTGAATAAAATTCATTTTACAACAAGTAGAAATGACAATTTGCGAGCCTTCGGCATTGAAAACGGGGGAAGCTGTCCTAATTTTTTTAATTTCGGCTGAACGTTTACTTCACGTTTCATTTTTTGAGAAAACTATGAAACTCCCCCGGTTTGCAAATTTTTCAAATTCTGGAAACAACAGCGTGATGAATCTTTGAAAGGAAAACGCGTGTTCCAGCGGCGTGTGGTATACTGCGTCGACAATTTCTGAAAATATCGTCAACGCGTTACGGTCGTTTATAGAACGATTGGAAAAATATTCTTCTCACGATGATATGCGCACTTCCGTTGAAGTATCAAATGAAATTATTACGTGGAGTATAAATAACAATATATTATATATGTACATATATATATTTATTATACGATTTAAAGAAAATGGAAAAAATAAATGTAATTAGAGGAGGTGAAATAGCGATGAGAAGGTGCGAGCTGAGAGCCCAGCTTCGATCGAGCGGCGTCTTCTTCATCCTCTTCTTCGTTCCCTTCGGCTACGTTAGCTCGTTTCTATTCTTCTTAGGTAGGTTCTTGTCTACCTATGACAATTTTATGATATTTTAATCTTTAAGTTTTCGGAGATCTTTCATTCGTCGCAGGGTAAATTTAGTGTCTTCTTCTATCATCCTCGATAGAATCTTCCAATGTGTGCCAAAGCATCCCCAAGTTCTTCCTTCTACTTCTTAAATCGTCGGTGCGTTACCTTTGCGAGATTTCGGATATCTTTTTAGGCTGTTGTCCTCCAAGTCTGTTGGCTTCTTAGCAACTTAAGAGATTATAAAGAACAAGAATTATTTGTGAAGTCTTGAACGCGAGACAAGGTGTGCAATACGGCATCACACGGCCCTGTGATTGATCACTAATTTAGCTTCGCCCCCCCCCCCTCCGATCGCTCAAAATTCATACCCAATTGTAAATATTAATCGTCGTTGTTTATCGAATTATTCGTTCCCTTATCATTTTCATTGATCGTCGATCGAATTAGCGTTTCACGTTTCTATTTATTATATATTATTCGTTTTTTTTGTTATACAACGGGTAACTCGTTTAGCTGAGATTTGAGGAAAATACATATATATATCCACGAGAATATCTTATTTATACGTAGAGACCTGGTCTCATATTAGAGTGTTTTTTATTTCTCATCGCTGAGAAACGTGTACGAGAATCTGCACGTTAAATCGGAATCTGTTTGTTCGTTTCTTTCTACGTTGTATTATTGTTGACATTATTTATGATATTGATATTATTAAAGGATCGCTCTCTCTTCGTTCGTTAATTATTTCGAGCCAGTACGAATTCATTTTTTTTTTAATTACGCATACTATAATAATTATAATGAGAATTCGCAAACGTTAGCCCCTTCGCTCTCTATTATTGAACGTACGTAGGCGACGCATCGCGTAGAAAAAGCGAGAGGGGAAAGAGGAATAGTTGAAGCACGGGACAATGGAATTAGCGTCGTCGTTCGTACGTGCGACGAATAGTTCACGAGAAATTGATGAAAGATTAGGATGGAAAAGGCGAGGAAAGAGTATTTTAGATTTTTGAGACGAGGAATGCGCACGCGAATTATATACAGGGGTCTCCGTTCAAGGTTTCGTGTATAATTATTTTCCAAAAATTAGCTCGCATAACAGAATGTTCCAAATGAAAATCCTGTTTCATAGAATGTCTCGCATAGGAAGTTTCATTTGGAACCAACGATAATTTGGGAAATAAATACATGCGAAACTTCGAACGGGACACGCCGTGTAATATAAAGAATAATAAAAAAAAAAATCCAAGCTGGAGTAAAGTTAGCAAGAGTACGCTGTATGATTGTGTATATCAACAATAAATAATTGCTGTGATTAGAATCGATTACCTATATTAGTAAGTAGTTAAGGACACTTTTTAAGGCACATACGTCGAACAGAGAAAAGAACAAAAAAAAAAGAGGGATAGAGACAACAAATGTTGATTATCAGGAGCATCGTAGTAACTCGATGACACGAGTATGCATGTATTCGTGCGTGTGCATGCGTGAATGTGGAAGAGAAGAAGAAGAAGAAGTATAGTGTTGCGTGAGGGAATTAAGAACAAATAGAGTAACAGGGAAGGGAACGTTAAAGGAAAGGTTTTCAACACGTTCTGTTTTCCGAAGGGTCAAGGATGAAGTACGTGCGCGCGTGCGTGTAATCCTCCTCGATGGTTCGTGTAATACAAACAATTCGAAAAGTTGTAAAGCTAAAGCAGTCGGATGTTTCTTAGGGGTAAGAAATAAGTAAGAGGCGATTGCCGCGCGCGTTTACGTAGAAAAGTACATGTACGCACGCATACCATGATCTTTTCACTCTACTCACCTATCGAAACGATAATAATTAGATTGCTCTGATTTCTTTTAAAAAGAGAATGATTCTTTTTTTTCTTAATTAATTAATTAGCTAATTTTGTAAGCTAATAACGAATATTGTTGCTTTATTTGATAATTATAAAGCTGACCGTGAACTCGCTTCAAATTTGCTTGACGCGGAACAAGTACTTTTAAATGTATTTTAACATTTGATGTTACGTGCGTGTCGTCTTTTAGTTAAGTATTTTATTAGAAGGCTGTGAGAAAGAAATTTTATTTAAAATATGTTGTATAAAATATTTATGCTCAATGCGAAGTGACGTTGTGTTCAGAATGTTAGTATTCTTTTTGACAAAAATAAGTCTCTTGTTCTGAGCAAGTTTCGCGTGCCCACGTTCTTTCGACAACGCGGGCAGACGGTTAGCTCCAAAAGAAGCAACAGCTCGTATTTTAATCCTTAGCAAAAATCGTGAGCCAATCATTTATTTCCGATCGTGAGCCGAGTGAAAAGCGCTTCGTCGCAACGAAACGGAGGGGCAAAATGCTGTTTCTGTTTCAGTGCCCCAATAATTTTCGATGATATTAAATTTGATACGAGTAACGGTGAATCGGTATAATCTCGTAGTCTCTCCCTGTATGTCCTTGAATACAGAAACGCAAACGTGCTCGTCCGCCGACCTTCTGTCGCACCAAAAAGACGCGAGAATTTTAAAAAAAAAAAAGAACAAAATCCAATCTGTCTGATGAAACTTCGATAATGATTTCCCGAACGCGAAAATAAATCGTCTCTGGGTGTCTGCGTGATTTATGCGAAATCATTATCGAAGCCGACGTACTCCAGGAACATATCCGGTGACACATATGACTAGGCTACGAATTAATTAATCTCTCTTCTGCTCCGATGATAAGCAAGCTCGTGTATTTATTCGGCGCGTATCGTCCGGATCGAAATGACAAATCGGCGATTAATAAAATCGCTCTAGACATTTCTGTCCCGGCGTAGCATACATTTTCGAATCAGTCGACTCTTTGGTAGTGTTTAGTAGTCGCTAAGATATCGTCTGTCGTATAATTCGTAACTTCTCTTTAATTCGTTTGTAACGAGGAACCGTAGGGTTCCATATAGGGTTGGTAACGAATAAAATGGGGGTCCGATTCGTGGAGAAATTACATCGCGTTACGCATTTTGTACGGAAAGGTGCCAAAGAGATTTCTTTGCTTCCTCATTAGGTCGCCCTTCGACTCGTGTCAATTCGCGTTTTCCCTGGGCGAAATGAATTTCCCTGAAGATCTGCAAACATCTAGACGGATCTGATTTTTTTTGTCTATTTTAGTATACGTTCGTTTCCTCCAATGAAAGCGCAGGTAGAATAAATTTACCAGTGATGCGTGAAGAAGGAAGTGAAGTTCGGGAAAGAGAGGAAAACATTAGACCATGGCACTTGGAACAGTCTGTACCCCTGTAATCTCAATCTCTTTCAAGGTTCAGGCTATGGGAGAATTCAAAATATCAATCGAACATTCTTTCAAAAGATCAATTTTATCTGATGATCAATCACTGTTATAAGATCGGCGCGTGGATTCTCAAATAGTTTAGACGTTTGATAAAGAGAAAACTGGAGGACCATCTCGACGTTGCACTCCCGTCGGAGGCAACTAGAAACAATCGGACAATCGTCGAATGGTCTGTTCGTGGTGCGACACGCACCCTGTCAACCCCTTCCCGCCCCCTTTTTTCACGTCGGAATATTCGAATTAACCTCCAGCTATGTTCGAGCGCAAAATACGGGCAGCTTGATATCTGAGAAACTATGACGTGTCGTAGCAAACATTTCGTACGTTCATCGAGAAGGAGAATTTTAATCGCGGATCCAACCTTCAGTAGCCGCGTTCTATTCGTCTCGTCGTTTGCCCTCGAACAAAATTAACTGAAACCGAGAACAAAATGCGAGAGGGACGTTGCGCGCGTCAACGTCGGTAGGAAAACGTATCGTTGTGGCGTAGAGCAATCTGTTAGTGCAGGGGCCTTATCCTTACTGCGCGGACCCTGACCGGAAATCATCGCGGAATCACTCTTTTTCATTCATTGAGAAATTGTATCGCTGAAATTTCTATCCCACGAGCATAGTCTTCGGAGAACGTCCTTGAGAAGATCAGAGACGACGCGTGAACTGTTTGAATTTTTTTAAATCGTCATAAGATTCTATATGAATAATTTGGAATATAGATAAGAGTCGTGTTTAAAATGACAATAGGACTCTTGTATTAGAACAGGGTTATTGAGATTAGGAGGTACTGAATATATCGTGCAATATTTTTTAATCGTGTACGAAGAACGCGCTTCGTACGGCTTTTAATGATCGTAATTTTTATCGATTGATTATTTTTGTAAAGTCATAAGGTTACTATATAACCGAGAGGGTATTTTAACGCTCAAGGTAAAATCGAGAGAATAATCGTGAACGTGTCGATCGAAGCCGGACAGCGTTACCCTTTCTTCTTTCTTAAAGCTTGCAATTAGAATTACGATGTAATTTTACATATCACGGGGAGAAGAGTAAAAAAATTGATCATGTTTGCTCAAAATGATTAGGTATATCAAAAGTTTATGTTTTATATTATATCATTATTATTATTTGGAATATTAATAAATTCCCTCGTCAGTTCGTTCGCTGTGGGTAGGTGAATTAACGGTATAAGATTTACCCTTTTACGTTTTCAAGTGACCAAAGGGTGCAGAGGGACGTGGACAGATAATCGATAGATAAAATGAAAGAGTGGCTGGTGGGTTGAAATTTCCGGTCGATCAAGCGGAGGATCGAGGCGTTCAGAAACGGATTGAACCGAGTGGTCCGCGGCGATCCGTGTCAGGTGTCCAACCTTAACCGTAACGCAAGGCAATCAGCTAAGAAATAACTTAGTTTTTATAGGATATTGAAGCGCACGCGCCCTACTTCCGACGGGGCGCGGAATTAAGGACAAGAATAAATGAATAAAATGAATTAAAATAAAGAAGACCTTTTAGTTCTCTCGTCTGAAGGGCGCGTGGAGAGAGACTCGGGCGCGATTCTTAAACGATATAACGAAGCTCGGAGATTCTGGACGGCATATTTTTCTGTAACGATAATTAAGCGAGGCGAAGATAGAAACGGGAGAGAGAAAGAGAGCGTGTGTGGAAGCAAGAGAGAACAATAGTTGAGGCGCGCGTTCGTTCACGAAGTAAAGAAACGAGGAATCGACACGGTACACGGTTGGCGAAAGTTGAAACTGAGAAAAGGGACAGGAACAGCGCAAACGGGAATAATCAAATAGTGATGCACGGATGCGCGAGAAATATAACTGTTCCCCTTTTTACGTGTGCCAAAAAACAAATGGAATCGAACGAGATGAGATACGCTGTCGTTCAAACATTTTCAGTCAGTAAATAAACTGCAACGTCTAACCGTGTTCAGTTATCTTTCAGTATATAACGTTCAGCTTAAATATATTTTTCGAGCGGCTACTCAATTTTTTGACTGACAACGTAGATATATATACATACATACGTACATACATATACGAGATGAAAGAGGTCGTCGTGGATAGATTGTTCAGCGTACGGACGGAGCCGTGTGCCAAGAAAAGTTTAGGTGAAAAGGATCACGGACTGATTAATTACGTGTGCCAAATCGTCGTTACACAAGTAAAGACATATATACGTGTGTGCGTGGACACGGGCACACATAGTGACGTACAATTGTACCGCTGCAGCTGTTTTCTCCTCGAGTAGCGAGCTCTTTTGCTTGCCGATTTTTCGCGTTCCCTTTTGTTCACGTACTTAGCGAGAGAGAGAGAGAGAGAGAGAAAGAGAGAATAAAGAGAGCCGGCGTGTCTCAATGCTTCTTTGTTCGCGCATATAGAGTAATTCCTGGATCCATGACCGGATCTCATTTATATACGTACGTTTATATCGTAGATCGTTTATTATGTTGTACGAGAAAGAAGTCGGAGTAGAAGCGTATTGCAAGTAGTTTTGTTAGGGAATGGCAGAAAAAATCGGCATCGAGCGAAGGAATGAAATTCGTTGCAACGCATGGAATGTCCACGTTGCAGGTCCTTCAGTATCTCGAAGTAGATAAAGACACGTGCGATTGTTATAGTTTCTTACGATCAATCACAACTTTAAATCCCTGAGCTTCAAGTTATTCTAGCATTTGTGCCAAACGATTAGTCTTCCTTATATAATTTGTTGTAGCTTTTCAAAACAGATTATACTTGCACATTTTATAAAGTGAATTAATAAAAATCCACGAGGATTATGTAATTTAACACTATGTTATAGTTACTTTATTCGTAACGTGAAATACATTAATCTGATCTTTATTGATTAAAGTACTTGCATGGGATAGCAGAGTACAAAAGTCTTTGTGCATTATCGAGGGGACATTTTATCAGTTGCAACTAAACGGAAGACGAGAAAAGCATTTTCGAGGGAAGTTCGGGCATACGTCAGTTTTAGGTAATGGCCCAGAGAGATTAAACGGATAATATATACAGAAAAATACGATAGTGCGACCTTCTAACGTTGAGAGCTTTAATTGTTCGCATCGATGTTCGCGATCCATTCGAAAGATCGTCTCGCGTTATCTTAATGGTGATAACACAAAGTAGCACGCTTCCCTAAAACGAACCAAGCTGATATACTACACTCCTACACCCCCGTCTGTTCCTCCTTATTCATCGCCACCGTCTTCGATGCTCGCACGAAAATTTCTCGTGATCACCGCGAAATAAACGATCGATGAATTTCCAACGTTGTCTGATAAATCAGACCGGAAGTCTGATTAGTAATTAAAAATGATTTGGAATATATTTCATTGTAACTCGTGGCATATCAATTTTTACGAAAGAGGCCAGAAATATAGTCGAGGAGTCATTTGAATGTTTCTTAAGATCCAGGGTCGATGTTTTATTATTTTTTTATATTATAGCCGCGCTGGTCTTTCATTCGGTCGTTCAGAAAAAAGTGTCGAACGAGAATCGAGCTCCGCGCGAAAAGGTGAAGAGAAGAAGAGACACGATAAATACACGAAGAAAGCACCCCCTATTTCCTTCGCACGTCACACCCGCACCCCAACGCCAGTTCGCGTTGTCGATCAACCACAGTTGAACGAGATCTGATTCCTTCTCTTCCTTCATATTCGACGCCTTTCCTTTTCATCTTCCTCGGCCGATATCGACTTATGTTAGGAAGCCTTTACGAAAACAGGGTCATATAAATACTTACGTGTAATACGAGTATTTTAAATTTTTAAAAATCGCGATTAACGAAGCGTGAGCAGAACAAAATGAAAAAAAGTGCAGTGAGAAAATAAAATGAAAAAAAAAAATGCAAGCGTAGTAGTGTGCAGTGCGTATAACGATGAACAAACTAAATAAGAGACGCGAGAGAGAGAGAGATAAGTAAAAGCGTAAAAAATTTATACAAAAGCAAAAAAAATATGTTGAGAATGGTGAGTGTACGGGAGGAGAGTGAGAGAAAAAGAGAGAGAGAGAGAGATATCGTGATGAATGAAATCGTAGTGCCACAAAACGGAAATGTGTAATAAAAGAGGGAACGTCGCGGACTACGTCTTTCAAAGCGTGTTTTCGCTTGGTCAACGGAACGGAGCATCGCTTTTTATAAACGTGTTGCTGCGATATAATATAATGTATGTATATGTGCACATATAGCTGCATACTGTAATCGCATGTGCAGGTGCAAACTAGCGAGTTTTGCGAGAACAGGGAATAGGGATGAAAGCAGACCTTGCGTACTTGGTCGCGGTGTCGACTCGTCTAACGATCGATCACGGCGGTCTGATCGGATCCTTGATATAATAAAATCCATCACCGTTCATTTCGTTTAACACGTCAAGCTTTCGACAGGTACACGAGCCTCCGATTTATTTTACCGGAAGCTCGGTGAAATCGTGAACAGTACAAAGGGAGACGGTGAACAAAGTCTGTTTTTAATTGCCAATCTGAATGGATCAATTTCGAGAAGCTTACGAGCGTTACATTTAGGATCCAGTTATTTCGTATCGCCCTAGGGTTTAATTAAAGATCGAGTAGACAATTTTCGTGGAAACTAATCGGTTACAGGGAGGCCCGATCGATCGAAGACTACACAATTTCAGGGTAAAAAAGTTTTGTAAGCTCCCTTAAAACGAACGATACGGAGAGACAAATACGTAAATACGTACGGTCGAATTTACGTAAAAGTTTTCATTAAGAGTGTAAGGATAACGCGAGTAAGCATGAGCAAAGACGAAGTAAGACACGTGCTGTAGGTTGACGGTGCATACGACGCCGGGCGAGAGTTAGTGTCTTGAGAACGGCGCAAACAATTTTTGTCGAGCCGGCGAATCGAGAGATCGAGAGGCGAATAAAACTATGCATACGCGAGCGAGCTTGTGAAATAACATTAAATTGTGCGCAACTTGGAACGTGGGTAATTTCGAGATACTATTCCTGGCCCGACGACGTACATACTTATATATACATATAGGCATATGTGTATATATAAACGATATACAATTACTTGTAAGCATATAAGAGATATAATTTATATAGCTGTATTCTACGTCATTAGTACATGTAGGACAGGCTTGCGAGTGTTCATATGTGATCGTCTCAGCGTGAGAGTGCTTTAAAATCTAGAGACTGCGTGAGTGAGAGAAATACGATATATATATAAATCTATATATATATATATAAAAATATAAATATTAAAAGAAAGAAAGGTATATATAATTAAAATAGATAGATACGGGGAATGAGGGAGAGAGAAAGAGAGAGAGAGAGAGAGAGAGAGAGAGAAATACATTATACCTTGTAGTCGACGTTACATATCTTTGCAAGTCATTCGTTGATGAACATTATTTTGTCTGCTTTAGACATTCAGATTTTCAGCGGCGCCTAGCGATATATTAATATACATATATATATGTGTATATTATATGTGCTTGATTCACGGCAAGACCAAATCGCGCGATTCGAACAATCTAATTATTAGAGAACGGCGTCGCTGGTCGATTGTGCGATCGATTATGCGAGTCGTAGACCCGTGAACGTGATGCACAAGCGACCCAGACCTGACCCCAAAAAGTCGGGCTACATATCAGACTCTAGTTAGCGTCAAGTTCCCTACTCGGATTTCCATCGGTTTTTAAACCTCGAAACCACGATTCGTTTGGTGTAGGTATATTCACGTTGATTCGCGGCTCGAACAAAAAGTATTAAGTGTTTTACAGACGAAAGAGCCGGTGAATCATTAATTAAATCCACTGATCTCTCCCCCTAAATCACGTGCTCACCCACTTCGGGACGATCTCGGAATACGGGCCAGCTCTTATCTGGAGTAAGTTACGTATTTAACTCGAGCATGGTCACCGACAGCTCTGCCGAGATCCACCGAATCTTCATCCGGGATAATCCGTTCTTTCTCCGAGAGACAAGCCGCGTCCTAAACCTAGAACTATTCTATCGCTACTGCTATTCTATTTACCTATGCTATCGACTATAACCAGCATTAACACTGTATCCATTATCCAATTGTTCCGCGATTCGAATCGTTCATTGTCCTACTTTCGTTTATCATCAATTTCGCAAGCCCGCGTAAAAAACTCGAGTCACCTGAATGGGAACAAGAGACTAGACTCTTTCGAAAGGACGTAATCGATTCTTTTTCTCGTAGTCGGAAATTCGAAGAAGATTTTCGATTTCACGTTTTATGGTCGCGAGTATCCTCATCCCATCTCCGTCGTGTTCTTCTCTTGATTCTTTAGTCGCATGTGCTGAGAGAAAATTGACACAAGTATTTAATTAATGTTCGGAAGTTATCGATATTTGAAAATTGTGATTATTTTTATGATGCTCAGAACTGTTCGACGACGCTGAAGGAAAGAGGAAAATGATTGATTCGGTGATCAGTCACATTTCTCGAGATTTTACTACATTATTTTTATTAACGTACAATTCGTAATATAATAATTAATAATTAACTCTTGAGGAATTGAGAAGTTATAATTTTATAAGAGAAGACAATACATTACAGTAGGAAGTTAATAAAGAGTGTACAATTTTATGTACAAAATGTGTGCTCAAATTGGCGTTATAATAAAGAACATAAAAGATATAGCGTTTAAAGTATTATAGGGTGATATTCTATAGAAAGTAGGGTAATATCGTTATCTCGATGCTTCAAAATTTAATTTCTCCTACGAGGCGAGTCTAGTTTTTAAAAAAGTAATCGATCGTACTAGAATCTCGAAGAACAGTGACTCATTAAGTTCGATCAATACATATCTTCCCGAATATTATTTTCATTTTCCTACGTAGTAGTATCTATTTAATCATAAATTTCTCTCAGCACATATTTCAACATCTATTCACTGATACGAACTGCGCTCATTCTCCGAAACAATGTTCTCTCATAGCAATCTGTACTGTTATCCGTTAGCGTCATGATTTTACGTAAATTATAAGTTGTTGATTAGTTGCTACATGTTGGAACAAGAGATCATCGTGAGAGCTTCCATAAGTTCATAAGGTATCCGAAACCAAAAGACAATGGATGATGTAAAGTTGGTCACGATGATTTTTGTTCTATTCTTCAATAATTCTTTAATAAGCCTCAGTTGCTCAAAAACTCCCTCCTCTCCACTACTGCGGAGAACGTTTTCTTATCATAGGAATCGATCCATTTCCGTTTTGATAGCATGATCGAATAATTTAATCAATTAAATATACTTAATACCTAAACACGTTGTAATAAGATTTTTCGTTCTGCTTCGACGGTGTACATGATTTCCTCGCGGAAGATAGAATCCGTGGTTGAACAGCAATTGACGATCGTATATTTAAACGAACTTTAATTGCTGTTCCTATCAGCAACGGCAGCGCGTACAAGCGATCAATCGACGACGATGTCCGACGTGTAAAATCGTCACGCGACCCCACTGCATTTTTACGTTATCGTTCTTTACCTTTTCACATGTTCGGTACCGTCAGCGATTGTATATAAAATATATAAAACGTGCACACGCAAATTGTAATTTATTATCAGTGTTAAAAGAAAGGGAATAATAAAAAAAAACACTCGAACGTCGACTAGGACTGCCGAACGATGTGAAACTCTTACTCGTTCCGACAGATTAATTAATTGCGGAATATATAATACACGTATTATAACGTATACAATATAATATGTATATTATGTATCGTATACAGGGATATACTATAACCCGCACAGCATAACCACGACCAAAAAGTGCCGAAACATTGGCGAGAAATCGAGAACGGGACGGGAGAAATATAAGCTAGAGAGAAATCTATTATTATATTAATTCCGTATTCGTACACGCACGATCGTGATTCTAAAAGATCATCGATCGATCTACGCAGAGAGATACAAAGCGTACACGTATACACAAACACGCAGACAGACACACAGTCGATGTACGTAGCATTTACGTACGTACATGCATACGAATACGTACAGGTAACAAGACGAAAGAAACAGGAAAAAAAAAAAATACAAAGAACGGATGATAAAAGCACGACAGTTTTCGCATCACTACAGCAGCAGCTGCACTTCTTTTTTGATTCTCACCACACGTACTCAGACACGATTCTTGAATCAAACATTCTTTTTTAGCGGTCAGAGAGAGGGATCGCGGATTTACCATCAACTCGAATAGAGATTTAATGTTTGTAAGGGCAATAACGATTGTAAATTTTTCGAGTACACTGTATTTGAATGTGTAAGTTGCATAAAAAGACAGATTTTTTAGATATTGCACTATAATATTTATTATTCTAAGGTAAACGAGACAGGGTCGCGATTCGCCGCGCTCGCGATACCTCGCCGAATACCGCCGCGAAAACGAGAAAAAGAGAACCCACCACCACCACCACCACCACCACCCTCCCCTCGACCCTTAAATGTGGCCTCGATCGCATCGGGAAAATCGGTGCCCCGGGATCAAAACAGCGACGAACTATCGATCGCGTCCGCGATAATTTAGTTTGGCAATCCCTCGCGAAAGTGTTCCGCGCGAGCGATTATAAAATATACGTACATACAATACATAATATTGTAATTGGTTCAGTCGCGATCGACGCCGAGGCGCTAGCGCGGCTGCTTCGCGACGATCATGGATTAATATTAATTAATAAAAAAGAGGCGGAGCGAATGCATTGTTCTTTCCAATAAAAGAAGAAGCAAGATTTTTAGTGTTTACACTACAATTGATAAACGATTCTATTATTACATAATATTATATTAATAACAATATTATTACTGTAATGTTTGTTTTTGGTTATTAAAGTGTGTATATAGCAATATATTCTAGAGATGGTCTCCCTTGTTGAGTATCTTTTATACCTGTCCAGAACATTTATTTCTTCTAACGATTAATTAAAATCTGGGAACTCTCAAATCTTGGGCAGCACCCAATTGGTCATCGAGTGAAACGCGAAAATTTGATAGTCCATATCTTTGCAATAAATGATCATAGAGGGATGAAACCTCCACCGTTCGAAGTAGCAAAGGCTCCTCTTTAAAATGCCGTTTGATTCATCCCGATACGATTTCTGGTTTCGGAGATATCGTCGTGTGAAGACGAGCGTTGCCCTTCTCGCACGTTGGCCGAGTTTCTGGTCTAGCCACCCAACTGACGTGCGTTTTTTTCAGAAAATAGAAGTACCTACAACTTTTATTTGAAGCACTTTTCGATATTTTGACAAAAAAAAAAT